TTTTTTTTTTTAAATACCATGGAGAATAGATAGAAGCTTCTTAACTTTTCTGTTTGCTGATACATCTGTTGTATCCATTGGCTTATTAATTATGGAAACTGTTATTTTTCACATGGGGCCAGAGGTGATGGTGTTCAATTTTCTTTTACGCAGGCTAGCCTCTATGTGGTCATCAAAAATTTGGCATAGGTTTTTTTTTTTTTTTTTTTAATAGAGCCATATTCTCTCTTTGGTTTGGTTTTGACATTCTAAAGCCTTCTAATTTAATTTGTTTCACTCTTGTTATTTGATTAACCAGGTGACACTGCCTAACCTGGTCAGTTATCACTCAGACACAGCCTGAAATATAGAAGGGAAGCAGGGAAATGAGTTTCTGAGACATATATATGGTGAATGATCAGAGGTTAAAAATAGTTTCTAAATTATTAACCAGGTTAATGGGGAGAAAAACAGTATTTAAAATTTTTTATCTTGTTTTTATTATTTGTACACATAGCAATTATCAGAAGATGCTGATGTGCAGGATTTATGTGTATTTACACTGGGCAGTATTTACTTGTAGTTAACTTGAATGTAAACTAAGGAGAGAGAAAAAAATGATAACCTGTTATTTTCAGTATTTATATTGTCTCATCTCCCCTCCCACCTAATTCCTTCAATTGTCTCCTAGATTAGAAGTAAGTATTGTTTCTGAGTGTTTTTGTTTGTTTTTTAAATTTTTTTTTCCCTTCCTATCACCCACCTTTCCCTGTTGGGCATTAAAGAAAATAATAAGGCATAATATTTTAATAGTCTTCAACCATTCAGATGATACAGAGTCATTTTGAAGAAAAAGAAAACTGTATCAGGCAGAATTTACACAGCAGTGCATGGGCTTTTAACAGCAGTTGTTAGTGCTAACGACATTTCCCCAGTTGCTGGTATTAAGGTAGCAGCAGGCCCGTACTAGCAGCGTTCCAATGGCCCAAGCACAGCTATATTTCTGCCATTCCTGCAGGTTTGTGTGCACCTGGGATCGGCCACACCCAGTTGGTATCAGTCAACACTATATCATGCCGTGTGTTTTTTTAAATTCATGATTTCCTCTTGAAACTCAACTAAGGAGTGTTAACTGTGTGTGTGTTTTTTAAATTCAGTTTTTGTATGCTAGCATTCTTAAATGTCTGCCAGAAGTTTAATTTGAATTTCTGATCCCTGAAGGCAGCTAGACAGAATCATTCTAGTTCTTCATAAATTGCCTTCTATGATTCATTGTTAACTCATAAAACATACTCATTTCTATATACTCAAACAGTTAAAGTAGTTACAGTATCGGGGATGTGATTTTTTTTTTTTTTTTTTTTTTTGCCTTTTATTTGAATTGTCTTTTGAGGAAGAAATCAAGAATTAGCTTGAACTCCCAGTTAAGGCGTGAGCCCTGTAGCACACAAAACATGAATGTTTTCATCTCAAGGAGGTTGAGGTAGATAGCCTAGGATCTGAAAAAAGTTTAGTTTTTACTGAATACTCTCAAAGAGGGGCCCATAAATATCAGAGTGCTGTAGTTAAAAACTCACATGACTGTTTTAAATACTATTGATTTAAACCACTGGCTAGATTTTATGAATCAAAGTGTAATTTCTAAGCTTTGGCCATATTTCTCATTGCTAAAGCACTCTCTCTTGTGTGCCTTTAGCCGCTTTCCAGACATTCAACACAGGATTAAATGATAGTAGTTACAGTGATCAATAGGTTAAGACTGCTACAATCACTCTTGCCGCTAATGACCTCAGTAGTAATGGGCAATAAAGTGTGGGCTATAATAGCCTCTCGCTGGTACTGCATGCCCTTTGATTCCTAGTATTAGTAGGGACTAGCTACATGAAAAAGTTGGACATTGGGAATTAAGGGAGTGGGTATATAGGCTATAATTCTTAACTATTTAAAGTCTTAAACTATGCTCAGATTTTTTTTTTTTCTTTTCTACCATGGTTTCTAGTCCATTTGAATACGTTTGTCAAAGCTTTCCATAACCTCTTTTCATGACATGTTGGAGCAGAAACTTTGGGGAAATCTCGGTTTTATTACATATATAAATTAAGCTTGAGCCCACTTTGGAGGCCCAGAGCTAACTGGTACGAAAATGTGGTTTCAGATAGTAAAAGCAAAGTTAAGGCCATCAGGATATAATAGCCCACTTCTGATTATTCAGAGACCAATTCACCAGTTTGGAGGATTACTCAGGCTTCTTGCTTCTTTCCCCTCCTTTGGCTGTGCCTGCTGCTTTTAGCATGTTATTACTCATCAGTACCACCATCAAAATGTCCAAAAGGAAAAAGAAGGGGAGACTTGAAGTTCATTGTGCTGTTCTATAACATGACTGCAAAAAATGAATAAATAACTATGGGGAAAGGAGATTTAAACCATTGACTCTATGTAAGTGTTTAAACGTTATCTGTACAGGTATATGTCAGTCCTTTCCCTGATCCCCATTTTTTTATTGACAGTTGAGGGACAATGGTATTTCTCATTTAGGAATGCGCATATAATTTTATAAGAATTTTTTAAAACTATTAGGATATATATTTTTTACTTTCAAAATCAAATTTATCGGGATATAATTTGCACAGACTAAAATACCCTCATTTTAAGTGTATCGTTGGAAGAGTTTTGACGAGTAATTGTATACGTCTGTGTGTCCACCACCCCAATCAAGATGTAGGGTGTTTCCATCACTCCCAAAAGTTCACTTGTGCCCCTTTCTAGCATAACATTTCCACAGCTCTTTTAAAAATTATGCCCAGGCGATTATTTCTATGATGATTTCTGTTGTAACTCTGTGAAGTTCATGTTCATCACCAGCTTAGATTTTACACCACCCTATTCCTGTCTGTTTTCCTGTTCATCACCATCAGAAATTTGGCTCAAGAATATTTATATTGTACATCACCCAAGAAATGCAGAGGAAAAAAGAAACCTTAAACATGGCTCTTTTGTTTTCTTAATCAAACCTCCCTGTATGATGATGCAACTCTCAAGGAAAAGTAAACTTCTATTGTGATATATTGGCTTTAGCAGCTCAAACCATAGTGATTGGCACCCAATGCATGTTTAAAAATTCAAAAAGTTTCTTCTGTATTAAGACAAAGTAGATTAATTAGAATTAGTTTGTAGATGGTTAGATGTTTTGATAATGTCTTCTTGGTGTTTGCCCTAGACTGAATGCAAGTTCACTGTTCCAATCATTGGTGATATTTCGTGCTGCAAATTATCTTTTTAAAAGGATAATTTATCCATTCATATACATCTGTCCCATTTTGCATATAAAAATATTCAGACATGCCCATCTGTTTTAAATTACAGTGTATCTACATCTATACTTAAAAGGCCACTGTAATAGGAAGAATTCATGTATGACCTTCCAGAGTTGGGTTAATGAAATTTTTCCAGTGTTCTAGCTAGTGTTTTCTAAACATGTGAAACTTGCACATCAACATCCCCACACACGAAACATGCCCACAACAACAGTGGAGAACATTCACTGTACATGAATCTGACCTTCAGGAACCATTTTTAGTTCATCAAAATTAGTGATGCTGAGAAATCGGGACATCAGTGCATAATGACTGTGAAATTAGGAATGAGAGCTCGCTATGCAAATGACAGGACAAATCATGTGAAAAAGTCAAGATAAACTGCATATTAAGACATTATGTTACATAAAATTAATACTGCATTTCTGCCTTTTGCTTACTGCTCCCCTGAAAGATTTTTTAATTCTTTTATCTTCTGATCAGCTATTGTCTGCCGGATTTTTTTTTTTTAAGTGGCACACAGGCAAAGTGCAAAACATGTTATTACCTTTTATTGTAATACATGAGATGACAGCAGATCCTTTTTAACAAAGTATATCCTTTACTGCTTCTAGCTTCTTGCTGTCACATGTTTGATTAGAAACCAAAGAAAAGTTAAGATGCTTAAATATTACTGTTAGAAGACATACAGGTTTTGTCTTTTCTTTCATTGTTTTTTCTTTCCTTATCTTTTTATTTTGGGGGGGGGCTGATTTTTCATGAAATAGTCTTCTTGCATTACGGGGACTGACAAAATGGTTCTCATGTAGTCTGCAAATTAAACACAAGTGCAGTGATTATTTTGAATAGCTAAATTACATTCTAGAAAGCTTGCAGAATTCATAGCATTGTCATTAGGTATCCGCTTGAATACAATTTGTGTAACCTTGGCCAAGACAGCCTGTCATTTTAATGTCAGTGTTTTATCTGAACAAGACATCATCCTTTCAGATACAGTGTGCAGGTTCCTTGCAGAGATGCCCGTGCAGAAACGTGTTAACAGTTGCAAATATGAAATGCTATCAAGTTCATCACTGTAGCTGTTTGTCACTGAAATGTCATGGAAAGCGGCTTTTAATGGTATTGCACATAATATGAAAGAATTGAGACATCTGTATGCTGGGTGAACAAGGAAGGGTAAAAGGCGTCATAGGAAGGGTCTGGGTTTAAGTTGGGAAGGTGTGTCCAAGGTCCCGTTACCCACAAGACTAAGCATTCGTTGATTGTTCTTAAAATCACTGTCCGCCGAAGACGTGGGTCGTGTTAGCCCCAGCTACGAAGGTACTGGCTCCTGTATGTTGCCTTCCCTAAAACAGAATTCAAGTTCGGGTTAACTTCCTACAACTCATTTTGACCGAACACTCATTCTTTGTAAGAAATGGAGATTGTTCTATCCTAACTCCAGTTAGCCCTTCAGTTTTTCCTCCTTGTCTGCTTGCAAGTCCGCCCTGAACCCCTGTCAGTGCTGTATTGTATTTTTCTTTATTTAAAATCAGCTGCATAATAGATGAAATAGGATTTGTCGCCTGCATCCCTTCTGGATAGATAGGTTTTGCGAGGGAAATCGGTCAGTTCTTTAAGCAGGCTGATGGCAGTCTGCCGCTGAACCTGGGAGGCTGCGTGCTGGTGATTTCCTGGCTTCCTATTTATCCTTCATTAACGTTCTAGGTTCCCGTGTCAGTGGCTATGATGACACCTCAAGTTATCACTCCCCAGCAAATGCAGCAGATCCTCCAGCAACAAGTGCTGAGCCCTCAGCAGCTCCAGGTTCTCCTCCAGCAGCAGCAGGCCCTCATGCTTCAACAGGTAATTGTCTTCCTCCTCCTCCTCCTCCTTCTCCTCCTCCTCCTCCTTCTCCTCCAGCCTCCCACAGACCCAGGGCCCAGCACTCCATTCAGAACTCCGTCCACCTGAGTGGCTGCTTTGCCCAGTGAAGGATGAGCAGGGTAGGGCGGGTGGGGCAGGGCACAGACCCGTCCCTGAATAATCCACGTGCTTTTGCATCCCCAGAAGAGGGGAGCCCTGCCAGAGTGACTAGGGTTTGGGCCTGGAGAGGACCCGATGGACTGAGATTAGGGCCGTAATTGGACTTGGTCGAAATAAGATCTTTTAGGCTTACATGGCTTTACCCTCTTTTATTTGGTAAGCCCAGAGGCTTCTAAACGATGTGAATCAAAGCAAGACGAGGAGCACGTTGGGAGCAGGTTTAAATATGACAGCTCCTGAAGTCCCCATTTCCACTCAGAAGCTTATGGATTTTTTTTTTTTTTTAAACATAAAGAAGCTTTTTGGCGTTGGCTAATTTTAAGGCACAGAGTTGATTTCACTTCTTAGATGTATACTGATACTGAAATGAACTTCTGGCTGTCATTGTGCCATGGGGACCTAATATTCAGACTTAATGGGCACCAGACCCAAATGGATGAGATTCGGTCTTAGGGTGGTGGGAGTTCCTGCCTGGGGTGGTGGAGACAGGATGCAGAGGAAGCTCCCAGCGCCGTGACGTACACACCGAACACTACTCCAGAGTGCCCGGCCCTATCAGTGAGAAAGCACGCAGTGGAGGCTCACCAGACTCTCTCAGCAAGGGCGTTCTGGCTTTGTTGTACAATCAAAGGTCATTCCTTGCCTTATTTTAATTAGTTTGTGTAGAAAATGGTATGTTTTTCATCAGTTCATTTTGGAGATTACTTTTCAAACAATAATGCCAAGAATAGTCAGTGCACGCTGAATTTATTGTCGAGTTTCAAACTAAAGGTCAGGCCATTACAGATAAAAGGATGCTATTTTTCAAATCACAGTTTGTGTATGGCACCGAAAGGGACAGTGGATTGGCGCTACCCTCTGTTACTTACCGTCCTCTCTTTCCTTTGTAGCAGCAGCTTCAAGAGTTTTATAAAAAACAACAGGAACAGTTGCAGCTTCAACTTTTACAACAACAACATGCTGGAAAACAGCCTAAAGAGGTACCGACAATACATATTTTACTTTCAAACCACAGATCCCAGAGGACTATCTAGTGGCTATTAAACTGTCATTCATCTTTTAAATGATTGCACAACTGAGCTGACTCTATCGGTTCTCAGCTTTCAGACTGAGAGTTATTGTCCTGTTTTCGCTCAGATTTTTCTGGGTTCCATTTGCTTTCTGCCACATATTTTATAACACTGCTGCACGTGGACCTGTGCGAGGGACCGTGGGGCAGAGCCTTCGGGGCTACTTCTGCAAACTGGTACAACTGAGTACCAGGATATAGCGGAGGGAAGTGCAGTGCTTTCAGTAAACTTTTACTTGGACCCACACTTAATTTTTTTTTTTTTTTCTCCCCAGCTTTGAGAGCTTGGGTGGGGGATGACGGCCTTTTCCATGGGAAGAATAACCTCTTGTGAGGTTGGACAAACAAACTAAAAAGTTAGAACAAGATTAAACATCCCCATCTTTGTTTAACTTCTTCCTGCAAGCGACATATACTGTAATTGCTAAAGGCATGTACGTACCAGATAGCAGGGTATAAAGTTAGAGGAGGACTCCAGCTTGGATTATTTGTGTTTTCCTGAGGGGGAAAAAAAAATAGTGTGTTATAATAGCTTCTGTACGCACAGTGCTTTGTAGTGTCCATAAGTTACTGCGTTGTGCCACACCAGCCAGTGGGGTTGACACCGTCAGTCCCGTAAATGGTAAGGCCCATCTACGGTCTAGGGACTTACCCTTTCACCGTCTCTACAGTTCTGTGTGGGCGAGGCTTGGTCAGTTGTGGGAGTATCTATGTGCATATATACATCATTATGACACTTTTCTACCCATTCCAGAGTTACCCAATTTAACTTGCCTTCCTCATATTTTTACAGTGGACTGAAATTCTTATAAGTGTTCTCTTTGGGGATGACACAGTTTATAATTCTATAGCGGTGCATCATCCATTTTCCCACCTTCTTCCTCCACCCCAAGCAGTTGGCCACTTTCATTCTTTTGAAGGGAGTCTCACCAGGTGACTCTCCATGTCCCTGTCCCTCAAGTGAGTGAGGATGCCAGGTAGTGCCGATTCTACACACCGGGAATGACCCAGGCACTCTGCCTGTGCCATCTCCTCCCTCGACACACATTGGGTGCATTTTCCATGCCCTGCAAAGCGTTTACCCTGGGGTCCTGTTTGGCAGCCTGGATGTAAACCCCTGCAGAGTAGGGGCAGTTTTGGGGTGAAGGGGAGGAGGTGTTTTAATGAAAATGCTGACACAACCTTAAGTACAGTGGCGCGCTACCGGGTGCTGCTATAATAAAAAAGGGAACAGATTAAAAAGTGTCTAAAATGTAAATCTAAAGGACTAACAGTAATTAAAATGGAAATGGCACAGGGAGGGAAGGCATGTAATTGTGAGATATCACTGTGCAGAAGGCTCTCAGCTTTGTTTTGCTGGCTGTTTTTCTAATTCAGCAGGGCTTACTCATCAGTGGCAGTTCAATGCGCGTTAATGACTCTGGGATTGCAGGCATCACTCTGGACAAAGAAATGATTATTGTGCGGTCAAAAGAAGTTCAAAGACAAGAAGGGAATTTCAGTTTTTTCCTTAGAGATCCACATTCAAGAGCATATAAATTAAGCCAAATGTTAAAAACCACAGTCTGAAAGCTGACTTCAAAGTCACAACTCTCTAATTAATGAACTGCGAGCTTCAGTTTGGACAAGTTGTGGTTTGATGCGCCCATAAATCAACATGACAGGCCTGTTTCACAGTCTCAGACAGCGCTTGTCATCGAGTCACATCGGATGTAAACACAGCAGAAAAAAGAAGGGGTATGAAGGAGGTGCAATTGATCAACAGAATTGGTAAAAACCCACTTTTGAAGCACATTATGCATGATCACAGGAAATGGTTACAGCCTCAAGAGGTTTCCCCTTCTGCTGTTGCTTTTTTGAATCAGATTTCTAACAGCCTTCAAAAGGGAGAATAAGAATTATGGAGTTTCTCCCCTGTGGCTTGCAGGCAATAACCCCCTGTTGTTATTTTGTGCTTCTTTCTTTTCAAAGGCATCAAAATTTAGTTTTTTAAAGATCTTTAACTCTATATTTGAAGACAAACAAAAAAGGGCTGCCACTGTCATTCTTATCAGTTACCAGGGATTGTGTTTTTCCTTTCTGTTGCCACTTCTTATTAACCTCTTATTTGGTCTGTTAGACATAGTTTGGAATGCACGTCTGCATGCTGGGAGAACATGAAAGTTCAGACGAGCTCAGAGGGCAGATAAAGAAATGTGAAGGGGAAAGTTACACAGCAGAAAGAAGGATAAAAGTTACCTCTCCCAAATTGCTGTTGTCAGAGAGGGGTGCATCTCAGAGCACAAAGGTGGTGGTGGTGTCTGAGTTTGGGAAGGGAACAGGGGCGAAAAGAGAATGCTTTGCATCGGAAAGAGGAGAACATGAGACATGGTAGTGGCATTTTAGCATGTCCAGGACGCTGAGTTTGCTGTGGTCTCTGCTTTGTCACCTATTTCGCGGGCAGAGGTGACCCAGGAGGTACGCTGCCTCGAATACCCTCAGAGGTAGGCAGACCAGTGGACAGGCCACCTTGGATTTCCCTGTGTGTGCGTGTGCCAGTGGATTTGGCCAAGACCTGTTGTAACAGTGGTTAGGAGATCCTTATTTCCTGAGATAAGGGTCTGGTCTCCTGAAATTACCATGCAGGTGGTGGTCCTTTTGTGCTGAAATGAAATAGGGTCACATGGTAGCAATTTCATGATGTGGACTGGTGGTTATGATTTTAACAAGGTTTGAACTTGGATGTTGACAGATGGAACAAGTATGTTAATTTACTGAATCCCCAGTCATTAGTGGCTCATAATTTTGTATCATCAGGTTCGCCGCCGCCTCCTTTTTTTCCCTGTTTTGATTACCTCTGCAGTGCGACTCTTGCTGTTTGGCTAGAACGATGGATGTACCTTCACTCTTTTTTTCCCCCCTAAAGTTGCCTGGAGATGTTTCCCTGGGAAAGTTTGGCTCCACATTAGGTTAGAGACCCAAGACCTTCCTTATAAGACAGATGCTGTTACGTGGGGAGAGGGAGAGGCAGCCCCCATGCAGCTATCGAAGTGACTCCACTCGTTTAATATTTGACAGAAATGGTGTGGAAAATAGAGGGCAGCATTCATTTTTAAATCAAGCTACAAAAAAAGATCCCATCCTGTGCGGGTGAGGTAGGCTAAGTTGATTGTTTTAAAAGGGCCGTTTGTCCCGGGCAGTTATGACAGTTTATGTTAGGCAGTAGGGAGTAGCCGAAGAAAGGAAAACAGACCTTTGACTGCAGCTCTAGGGAGGGGATCCAAAATGCAAGGTTTATCAGGGCATTTTAGCATTTTAACACTGACTACTGACCTGTCGAGGGGACTGCACGGAGACCTTTTTTGTATGCATTCAATTGTGAGAAGTAAACAAACGGACTCGTATCCTGTGTTTGGTAACTGGGTGGGGAGCACAGTTTGGCAACCAGTGTTGCTTTTAAATTCTTTCTTTGGACAATGGGCCTTGTATACTTTTATATCCTGGCTTTTCAAACGTGGACAGCTTTCATGAGCTTTTCCTAGGGATGGCCACAGAGACAACAGAAGAGGCATCAGTCATTTCAGATAAATACAGAATTTTTAAACATTTCATTTACAGTAAGACAGGAAACACCCTCTCCAACCTTCAGCCGACCCTCCCTCATTATATTCTACTAAGAAGAGCTAATTCCCTGATCTTTTATTGTGTCAATGTTGTTTTTTCTCTTCCTTCCCTTTTTTTTAATGTCATGAGTTAATATCTGTTGAAGAAGTGAAAAAATCATTTTGACATGAATATAACTATCATTGGGTTTTACATTAATGCGATAACTTGGGAAGGGGTGAAAACAATTGGATCATTTTATGCATGCTGTTCTTAAAATGAAAACACCGGCTTTTCATTTAAATTTATTTAAATTTTTGTTGTTAGTGGTATAGAATTTGTTTTTTGGAGTGAAACTCAATTAACTTTCTCAGTGGCATGGTAGTAAGTCTGAAATTGGTTGCTAATATGAGAATGATGGTTTTTACTGTAAAATAAACTACATGGAGACCGAAAGGAAACCACCATTTTTCTCTTTCTTTGAACTTTGCATCGGAAGGTCTTGATATACATACCATTTTATGGCTGTATCAGATCAAGGTCATGTGTTAGGTTAAGTGAATGCAGTTGTTTGTGAAGCATAGTTGCTAACCAGAACATGCAAGCTCTGAAAGGGTTGGATGGTCCTTTTAGTTGCAAAAGTCTCTCTGATCTTTTGACTAATACTCAGAGTTAGGAAAACTAATCTTGTTCTTTTCTTGCAAAACCCTTTTTTTCTCTTTTGGCTACAGTTTGGGAAGGGTTAATTTTCCTTTTATAATTGTTAGCCATAACGTGGCTAAGACCTCCACCTTGATATGATTCCTAGCAGATTAAGGATATTAGACAATTTCCTTCTATTTATTGTACTACTGCACTGTATTATCTTTCTATCACTCAGATAATTACTGAGGAAATCTACATTAATTTTTTTGGCTGGAGCAAGGCCTGCTAAACACAGGAATGATGTATTGATGTTTTACACAACAAAAGTTTTCCCCCTGTCATTGTCCAATCAACAGAAAGATATTTATCATATCGCAAAGCCCCTTCTTTTCAAGAACAAAGCAGGTGGGGGAAGCGGGACAAGGCAACAGACCTCGGGCTTTCTGAGACCAAAGCCAAGTGAAGGCATCTGAAGCTCAGACTGCCGTTCGTGTTAAACTCACAGTCGAGTACGGTGTTGTTTGCTAAATTATGAATGTGTGTAATTAAAATCTAGTGGCTGTTTCTATGAAAGATTTACAGTGTTATTTCATCGTTTGTCATGGCTAATTAACAATATTAGATGAAGTTTTTCTTCTTCAAAGGTCTGATTTTTCCTCATTTATTTATGTCAAAAGTGATAAACAGAGTAGTTAAAAGCTTCTGCCGTTGTAGGCAGTGAGGGAGGCAACTTGTTCTCTTACACCTCAAAGGTTCAGGGTTCAAATCCCTTCAGACTAGAGCGATGGGGTCCTCTTCCCAGATGTGAATAATAAAAATATTTCAGAGTGTGAAAGTTCATCCCTTCACTACAAAACTCAGGCTTTTCAAACTGGCTTGATTGACAAAGTGTTTTTCTGTGGGAGCAGGCGGGGGAAGGTAACACACTCACCCCCACTCCTCTGCAGACGTGGTGTGTTCTGTCCCTCTTAAACCTTGACATTGAACCCTCCGCTGAGCTGAGCTCTAGTGACCGCTCTCAGCATTGGATGATGACGGTGAGTTTTGAAGCGTCCATACTTTTAACCTTCCTTGGGAAGTGGCCATTTCATTTTTTTTTTTCTTCCTGATTTCTTACAGCAACAGCAGGTGGCTACCCAGCAGTTGGCTTTTCAGCAGCAGCTTTTACAGATGCAGCAGTTACAGCAGCAGCACCTCCTGTCTTTGCAGCGCCAAGGCCTTCTGACAATTCAGCCCGGGCAGCCTGCCCTTCCCCTTCAACCTCTTGCTCAAGGTATGCGTTGATTATACAGAAGGCACAGCTCTGTTAAGACTTTGGGTGTAGGTGGTGGGCTGGCTGGCTCTCGGTATGTTCCAGCTTATCATTAAGGACATTGTCCATCTAAAACATGCACATGGCAACTTCTTTTAAAAAGCTGAGTGAGTTACTGATGGGCCCTGGTAGAAGCCGAAATGCTTGTTGATGCCAGAATGAAGTCTTAGGGTGGTCTGAAGCCTTAGCAGTAGCCGAGCGATCCTACGGTTGCAGGTTCTTGGAGTGAGAGAATGCACCACTTCTTTGCCCTTAGAGTATTTTAATGGACTCTTCTAGTGTTGCAGTTTGGAACCACAAAGGAATTTTCTTGAAGGCTTTTGTTAAGTCATTTTAAGACATATTTTATATTCTGTAATTTGTTCTATTTTAAATTCTAGTAATGCTTTATAAACACCATTTTTTAATATAAAAATTGAAGTTTATTTTTCTGTAAATGATTAAAATCAATCTCTTTCTGTTACAAAAACCAAAGGCGTTTTTTTGTTTGGTCCTTTCTTCTTTTTCCTTCTCTCTTTGCATTCATCTGCTGATTTTTGAGCAAGTTTAATTCTACACGCGTCAGAACAGGTACCATTTCCATCTCCAGTTCTTCGAAAGCTGGGATTCCTTGACAAATAACAAGAGTTCATGGATTTAGTGAATTTCTTTTGAGAAACCACTGACTTTTGATCCCAGGGGTGTTGGACATCAGAAACAAATGGAAACTCGAGGTGTTCTTAGGACATCTTGGTTTAAGGAGCTCTGACTTTCACATGTGTAATGTGAAAGAAGATGGATTATTCAGAACTAAAAAGGAGGGAGGGAGGGACGGAAGGAAGAAAGAAAATGCCATACCTGTGTTTTGAAATACAGTCCCCTCTCCCATGCGTAGCTGAGCAGATTTCAGTTGCCTCAAGGCCAGCAGTCTGTTCAGCTCTAGTAGATCTGGACGTATGTGTGTAAGTGCCTTAAAGGTTGGTAGCCAGAGCCGTTGGTGTCTTGGATTCACTGACCTTCTGAAGAAGGTTCAAAATGTGGAACCTCCTTCCTGTTGCTTAAGGCATGATCATTCGTTCAGTAACTGTTGGTGTCAAGAGAAGTCAGGGAGGCATGTCTGCATTTGAATCTTCTCTCTCAAGTCAACCACACCCAGCTTCTGCCCCTTATGAGGTTTTCTTTTGTTTTTTATTTTTGTTTTTAACGTGGAGACCAGGACTCTTTCCTCCTCTAACTTCTCTCTTGCCCCTCCGCCCCTTTCTGCCGTGACTGCTCAGCTGCTTGATACATACCGGCATCTCCATTGCTATCACAAGAAGGCTTGAGCAATCGAGCAATACAAGGGGAAAAGAAAGGCTATACGTGTCCGCGAGTGCATTTTTGTGCTTGCGAAATGTTACAGCGTACATTAATTACACCTTCGGATTTATTGTTGGAAACGTGGCAGGCTGTTCTGACACACCTATCGGACTCAAGCACCAACTTCTCTCATCTTTTCCCACCGCTCCTATACTATTAAGTTTGCTCACTAAGGTTCATTGCTATAGTACATCAGTTAAGCTGTCCAAAAGAGGGCAATTGGGCAGTGACAAGACAAGCGCATGTGTAATGTGAAAGAAATGAATGTGGTGATGCATGAAGTGTAATCTCTGCAGTAACATATCAGAGACACTGGTAGGTAATTCACCAGTCATGGCATTGATTGATAGGTTTAGCAGTCTGCTATCACTGTTAGCCCCCGCAACATTAGGAAGAAGCATATTTAAAATCTAAGGGGTGCTTGTGTGTGTGCCCGAGATGGCCTAAATGTAAATGTAAACATTTGTGGAGTCAGGTTCTTGCAGTAAAGTGAACTGCCAGTGTCATGTCCATCTCTCATGAACCAGGAGGTTGGTTTTGTCTCCCCCACCCCCTCACCCAAAGTGACTTGAGAATTCAGTCATGTTGGACTACAACACAATTTTTTTTTATCAGAGAGATGATGGCTTAAAACTGATGTCATTATGAGGTTTAAATCAACTTTCTGCTTGCTTGAACATGGTCACCTGGGTATGGATGTACAAGGACAAAAAAAGGTTGATCAACTCTGTTTGTCTTTGAGCCAGTGATACCTGGGGTTGTAAAATTGAGTTCCATGAACAGTAATCTGTCAACTGTCCCCACAACATACATTTTTTAAACCTGTGCCTGCATTTTCTTCTATAATGAAGGGGCCAGTTGTCCTGGAAAAAGAAACCGTTGCAAGGCACGGAGGTTATCTGTTAACAATGCTGGTAATACCCACTTCATAATAAAATCACCAAGATTCTTTTACATGTCTATCCATTGCCTTGCTAAGTTAACCTTAAACATGTATGTAAATGTCAAAATATAGGAATAGTTACTATTTTGAAGGCCTTTTTTTTCCTTGAAGGTTTTCTATTATGAAACAGAGGGATGTTTTTGTTTTTAAGGTTATTGTAGGGTTTTCTCTCTGTTTTACATAAATAACATATCTATTCTTCACCTCGATCTCTTTAATCATCTGATTCTCCCTAGCACCAGTAATTTCATATAGAATTATTCTTTCAGTATCATTCTGACCTTTTAATTTTTAAAATGTAAACTCTAGGTAGGAGAACATTACATGCTTGGTTATGTACCTGCAAATGGATTTGTTTAACTTGGTACTATTATTCTGCCATTTTGGAAGAAATGCATGCTGTCTTTGATACTCATTTCCTCTGGTGAGTGACCAGCTTACCTGCTATCTGTTTTCATTCTAGTGTGAGATCTTGGCTGTCACATTGCAGCACCCTTTGGTAGATAATATTCATTGATGGAAGACAGTGATTTGACTGCCTCTCTGTTAAGTCTGATGAAAACGTTCTTAAATGTAATTATCACATTGCAGCTTGACCCAGAAGTACCGCTGTTGTCACTTAATGAGTTACTATTTTATTTACCATTTCTCCCTGTGGACGATGAGACTGATTTGCCAGCCCATTGCAATGAAAGGAGAGTAGGCTAACATTAATGTGCTCTGTAGGCATAACAAGTGGTGAATAACATTTGTCTTTGTCTTGATTTGCTGGATAGAGATCTTACTTTTAAAACAGCTTCAAAGTTCTGCTTTTCTTGGAGGGAAAGTGTTAACACAGTCGTTAGAACCCTGTTCTTCTAGTCTTCCCACCTCCTATGCGACTGACCCAGAAATCAATTAGTTTGAGTTGAAAAACAGGCGGCTTGTTCTTTTCATGTGTTTACTCCCTAGAACATAAAAATAGGTGTTGACTTGTGGGGTTTTATATCAATATGCTAGTTTTATATCAATATGCTATCATCAGCAGACAATCCCATTCACTATTGTCTCAATTGAGTAAACAGTGGCTGAGGGTCGGCCACATTCACAGGTAATTGTTGGTGTGCAGACAACAGCGGCAAGCCTGCTCTCTGCAAACCCGTCCCACCTGTCACTTCGAAAGGTGTTGGAAAATAATAGCCCAGATGCGGCAAAACCGGACACGGGATTGTGTAGTGACCTTTCCCTTTGTTTAATTTGCCTCTGAGGTTTAATTTCAGGGGACAAGTAATAATTGAATATGCCTAATAACTAAATGCTCATTTGGGACAAAATCCATCAAAATGTAATTGGCATTTGATTTTTATGAAGGTAGAAGAAAACCTACTTGTCTGTTGAGGATGCGTTCTAGGACTATCTGACCACTTAATGTGTCATTTGAAGCCTCCTTTATAATATATATTAATTGCAAATACTTGAGCATTTGAACATTTTCGTGGAGAACCGTTAGGAGAGACCAACTGTTTTTGTTAACGCTCTTCTCAGAGAGGCGGGGAAGGTTATTGGTCTGCTGTGCAATAATTTACTCCTCTTTGATATGCAAACGATCCACGGTGAATATAAAAAAATCCTATCAGACTCATTTCACAGTTCTTAACCACTCGGATTCTCTGGAGTCCATCGCCTCATTAGACCAGTGCTCTCCAATGCTAGCATAATTAAAATCTTTAACAGTTTAGCAAAGTAAAGATGTTTGGCTGATCACGTTGAGATGATTATCTATCCATTGTATTCTAAATGACAAAAATAAATTAAATTTAGACCTTGGCATTTTTTATTATGTGTTTCAAATGAATATAATGCACACAGCCTTCTTTTTTAATTCAATACCTTAGGTTTGGTAAGAAACATGCCTGTTTCGGCTGCTGCTATATAGTCAGAAAATGGCAGGCTTTCTAGGATAGCTATGTTACAGTTGATTGAAACAATGAACTGCAATCCAGATGTCCGATTCTAATGCGGAATTACCTTATGTACATGAGGGTTTATGATTTCTTTTCGATGTTCTTTCAAAGGACGCTGCTGCTGTTTGTTGTTGTTAGTTGCCATTCAGATTATTTTTCTTCTGTTCATGTATGTGCTAGAATATGTATTGAGGTGGGATTTGGAAATCCCGGGCTGTAGAGGTATGCCCACAATAGTGAGATTGGCATACAGATTGTGTCTCCTCTTGGGGGAAAATACAGGTGGTGGCTTACTCCTTAAAACCCCTGTCCATTTTGACCCCCTACAAAACAAGAGAACTTTACTACTCCAAGTTTATTTTACATTTTCATTTTATCTGCAATGGTTCATTACCATTGATCTAAGAAATGACAGTAATAATAGTGTTACTTGTATAAAAAGTTATACACTTTTTCAGTAGACACATCCATCAATTAAGCATGTGGTACTAGAAACCAAAATTAATGAGGAAGATAGGTGTGTTAATGAAATAATCATAGTATAATCAATTTGACTGTTAAAAGTTGAAAAGCATTTCAGGAAGACGATATGAATTCATAATTTATGTCTAAAAGTGATTAATAAAAACTATATTTAATAACAAAGCTATTTGTCATCATTTAAGACTTAAGCACAAAAATTACTCATTTTGTGTTTCGTGTTGTCATAATAGTATAGTTGAACAAATTTATTTTGAGCCCTTCTTTGTGTCTAAAAATAAGGTAACATCTATCTACTTTTTTTCAAAAACATTTTGGATGGATAGAAGCATACCGTTACTGCAGAATAACCATGTTTTGCATCCGTTTCATGAGTGTCTTTTATGTGTGTTGATGGCACTTCACCTGGGTTGCTCAGTAGGAGGACACACTTATTATTACCATATTTGCCTTAGTTGGGAGGGGGGAAAAACTGCACACACCAAAAAACCCCCCTAACACTAGGCTTTGTTTACTGACTCTTTGATTTAATTACTGTTTGAAGAGGACGGAATTAGCTGTTAATTGATTTAATTATCCAATTTGTTTGTTTCAGGCATGATTCCAACAGAACTGCAGCAGCTCTGGAAAGAAGTGACAAGTGCTCACACTGCAGAAGAAACCACAGGCAACAATCACAGCAGTTTGGATCTGACCACGACATGCGTCTCTTCCTCTGCACCTTCCAAGACCTCCTTAATAATGAACCCACATGCCTCTACCAATGGACAGCTCTCAGTCCACACTCCCAAAAGGGAAAGGTAGGGACGAGCCTCTGAGATGTGTCCAAAACTGTCTTTAATGTGGGAGGGGTGGGTGGCCCTGCCTCGCTGTATCTCGGTGATCCTTAAATGGATCCATGTGACCTGAATGTGAATATCATTACTTAAGAATGTATGCAGTATGGTTTGGGTGTGAAGCATCTAATTATTTTCACCTTTTCAACATGGAATTAGCACTTATGTAGATCTACTCTCAGCTTAGGAACCTGGGCAGAAGTCTTGTAGTTTCTCATTGGATGGCTTGGATTTCAAGGCTTCTGGGCCTATTCCTTTCTGCCAAGTGCTCCCTCCGTACAAACTGAATTCCTTGGCTCTAAGAGCCTTCTAAGGGAATAGTAGTGTCTGCTGTGGGCAATTTTGAATTATGGTTTGAGAAAACATAGAACTCATGTTACTCTACATTGCTCCCCTGGAAGGCTGGGAGCCCATCTTTTCCACGGTTGTGTCCCCGAAGCACATGGTCTTTTCCGCGTAGACACTGAGTGAAGGTTTGAAGGATGGAGAGATGGAAGTGGAGTGGGGTGGGGTGGGAGCATGTCTATTGTATGTACACACAAACATACACAGCACATTTTCTCCTGGTCGTGGGATATATGGTAACATTTTCTCAAACATTCCTATTTGGAGGTTAAAGCTTTATAGTTTTTAATTGCCATGAGCTTCGTGTGAATGTTAGTTGAAACTGAGGTTGCTTTAAAGATCTGGAATATGTCATATTAGCATGGAGTTCTAAGAAAATAAAGCTGTTAGTTCATGTTATTATATCTTAGCACCCAGAAGCATTAATACTGCTGTTGAAATGCCTTTCAAAAGTAGAATATATAATGCTCCTAAAATTGAAAACTTTTTTTCCCAGTTTACTATTTTTAAACTGTTTCCTATATAATTTCATATGCAGAGCTTCCACACACAGAAGAAAAGAAATCTTAAAAGTACTATGTGATAGTAAATGTCATTTCCATCGGGAAAAAGCAAAATCTGTATTTTGTTTTTAAATAAAACTGACTCAGTGAAAAATTACTTAATTATTTATTTCAGTTAAGCAGTTACAAATACAATTTTGCATATTTCTCAAAATATTGAGCATTAAGAAACCCACTGGTTTGATCAGATGTATATTTTTATGCCAGAAAAATATTTTCTGAATATATACATACAAATACACATACACATGCATTATATATATCATGTTTAAGCATAAAAACTATGAGTGGTTATAATTTGAGGATGAGGATAATATATATGTTTTAACCAAAATTTGCACCTATTTTACTATCATTTTGGAATTTCTGTGGCAGACACGAAAAAACTAAAAGATTCATTAAACACATTGGTTCAGAAGAGTTTGAAGAATAGAATGGTGGACCCTAAGAATCAGCTTAAAGCCATTGGGCAAAATGCAGCTTCTGTTGTTTCTAGTGAGGATAGAAATCTAAGTCTGGAAGCCAGTCTTAGCTCTTGCTTATATTAGAAGTCTTATAACATCTTTATTATTTTTTTTTCCAAAATAGAAAACCTTAGATAGCATTAAAGCAAAGGTTCTAGGCTATTGTCCTTTGCTGGACTTGCTTTTGATGTCCTGAGGTTGATGGCGTCCATTTACTGCAGAGTGATTGAATTACATCTTTACCCATAGGCAGAGCAGGAGGCCATACACTGAAAAATGCCGACCGATGCACTTAAGGTATTTGTTGCAATCTTGTCAGCCATTGTGGAGCCTGCACAGATTTCCTCTGACACAGAAAACTCCTCTTGTTTAGATGCACTGTGCTCAGTTTCATTCTAAAAGGTTATATATCCGCAGTCAGGTGATAGATTAGCAAGGAGGCAAGTGGGAGAAGAATAGCCCTTTTCATGTTTTAAGGCACATTTGAAGGTAAATGGATCTAAAGAGACAGTCTAATTCCAGGATACTAAGTTTGAATTTTTTTTTTTAGGGTCCTTATTTGTCTGTACAAAAGTTTTGCTTAATCTACGTGCTAAAATTAGAGTATGGGATCAGAAATGCCTTAATCTGGATGTAAAAGCAAGCCGAGTTTTCCAGTTGTACATGCAAAAAGGAAGCAACTATGAAATCATACGCCACCACTTAATCTCTTGAATCTCTCAGTTTATGTTATCTGGTAGGTTTCTAGACGTGGCTAGATTAAAAGAACATTCTAGTCAGCATGTTTTAACTGAATGTAGCTAACAAGACAAATGAGCACCTCAAGTTAAAGATAATTCAAAAGTTTTAAGCTTATAGAATTGATTATTTAAAAAATCAATTATTAGTTAACCAGCTTTGTGTACATACAGCAGGTACTTCAAATGAATTTTAGGTGGCATCACCTTATTATGGTTAATTTAAAAACCACATGTATGATATCCAGTTTAAATAGAAAATTTTTTTTTTTTTTTTTTTTAAAGCTATTACTACAGATGATGTTCTCACTTATAAACTGAGCTGCCAGTTGTCTCAGGAATTCCTTGTCCCTGCCTTGGAGAAGTTTTATCCCTTACTTTCCAAGGCATTTGTGAAATACATGTTCTTCGAAGCTCTTCTTTGATTTCTGTGTCATATTCTTTTCCCTCCATCCTCATGGAACAGTATCCAAACAAGGAAGAGCCCCTGCCACGTTGAAAAATAATCTAGCCCCACAAGCTCGCCCTTGGGTTAGCAGCTTTAAGAATTCTTTCTGGAAGGATCTGGGAGTGCTCTGTGTGAAATTTGTTGGAAAAAGGTAGTAGCGTGAGACTGTTTTGCTTGTTTTTAAGTAGCGAAATGTCTAATAATCTCAACCGGCTTGCGTCTTTCCATGCCGTTTGGAAAACAACTTCTCCCCCACCCTTGCCCCGTGCGTTTTGCTGGCTTCTGTGAGCAGCCGCTGCAGCAGCAGCAGCTCTGGGGTTTGGTGAGCAGCAATCTGTTAAGGAGATAAATAATGTGCTTGGCACGACACTCCTACTCTCCTCTTTAATTTGTCTTACACAGGGAAAATTATAATTAAATCATTCAGGGTAAACCCTTGAGTGTAGAGAAGGGAAAAAACACACTTTGGTAAAGATTGCCAATAGAAACCCACTTCCCTGTTGCGCAGGGTAGAGACATTTATCAATATTCAGCACTGTTACGGGAGGAGCGGCCCATGTGATTTGTGAGGCGGATGCCAGCGTTCAAATCAGGGCTTGTTAAGATCCCGTCCCCGTGCAATCACGGACATTCAGCATCATTAGAATTCAGTACTGGCGCCGTGCTTCGTGCTCTGATCTTCTCCTGACAATTTAATAATGTTTATTGTGCTGATTATATATAAATGTGCTGGTGCAACAAACATAACCTCTGTTGTCAGTGGCTGAGAAAAGCGTGGTGGGGATCAGGTTGAACGGCTGAAGCTAAAGGGGAGCTACAAGTGGAAGCAGGTGCATTCAAGCCTCTTACTGGCATTTTATTCCACGGGAGCAGGATGTCTTGACTTCTTAGGTAAACAGACAAGAACTCAGGCCTGGGATACCTGTAAACCGAAGACATTGTCTTGTTTCCTTAACTTGTCTGACTGTCTCACTTTAGGAAATTCCAAGTTTTCGTGTGGGTAAACAGAATCAACAGAATGCAAATGAAACATTTATTAAAATGCTAAATTTAGTAAAGCCCTTTGAGCTTCTTGGATCAAAGCAGCTATGTAAATACAAATAGCAATTACTACTTAAGTAATTGCCTGAATTAAAATTCTAAATATCACATTACGTTATGTTGCACTAGGGAAAGGGAAGAGAACTTATATTTAATCAGTTCCTTCTCCGTGCCAAGCGCTGGCTAGACTCTTGCATATGGAGCAATGTCTCATTTTGTCCACGTGACCACGTGGGAAGCAGTAGGGATTATTGTACCCATTTTACAGATGAAGAAATCGAATCATAGAAATTAAGTAGGTAACCTGGGATCACAGAACTGGTTGGTAGCATATCTAAGATCCAGATTGAGGTCTGTCTTTCAGTTCGTAAAATACTACTTAAAAGTTTTCATTCAGCTTAGAAGTGAATACTAAATTATGACAAATTAAAATCAATGTCCCTAAAAGAAATTTTAAGTTTAAATTCAATTCAAAAACACATTCATTAACCTGCTGTGTACAAATCACTGCATTTTAAATGAAAGTACCATACTTTCCTCTTCTGTGGTGGCCTTTCACAAAGATGGGGGCAGGTTTACACAATGTAAATGGTTTATGGTCTGAAACAAGACATAAAGAACAAAAGTGAACCCTGGGCAGAATTTACACACAGGTACATGCAAAAGAGGCCTCTCTCCTTCAAAAGTATCCTCACTTTCCCTCCTGTCTTATGTATCTTGTTTCCTCATTGAACACATCATATGGTTGTTATTCTATTTCAGCTGTCCTCTGTAATCCAAATTAGAAATTTTCTTTTTTCTTTTTTTCCCCCATCCTTCCCAGCTTTTTGCTTTCCGTTCAGCCACCATCGATAGATGTTTTGTAACTTGAATATTTCTCAGATTCATCACTGTTCTAAATATTTGTTCCAAGATATCCTTATGCAGTTGGTGAAACAGGTGTCTTTAAACTCTGCAAGGATTGTGGTTGTGCAGCCCCTGCTTTCTCTGAGGCATCCTATTGTCCTCAGAAACAGGTGACCCAAACTGGGTACTTTTCTCTATGAGGTCTAACCTGCCATCTTTCCCGTCATGATATCCCTTCCTTTTTTTTTTTTAATTCTAATTTATTGACATAGTCCCGTGTATTCCCATTGTTTGCATTTTCTGCACGCTGTAGTTGGCAGCTGCTTTCACATAACCCCGTTAACCCCGGGAGGTTTTGCCTGGCTAGTGTACTCTTAGGCAGTTTCACTTGATACAGTCTCTATTTGATTTGTGGCCTTCTGACGTATCGCCACGGATTTGACTATATAACAATAACATTGGTGTTTATGGGCTCTGCTGTTTTCAAACGGCAGGGAACTTTGAAATGTGGGCATACGTG